TACTCAAGACCACTGCCTGTACACCTAAAATGATGAATTTTATGGTGTGTAAATTATATCTCTATAAAAACAATTTTTAAAAATGTATAGGAAAATATATACCAGGTGAATATTAAGCTAAATAAGGCTAATATAGATATATCAATATGAGGGAAAATTTAATTGTAGGGCAAAAATATCAACAATATCAAATTACCAGTATTATTAGAGATAATTTCTTTACACATTGAAAAAATATTCAACTACCAGGAAGATATATAAATTTCAAATTTGTTTGTAATTATCTATAAACTTTCAAAATTTACAGAATTACAAGGAGACATTAACAAATTTTCCATATCAACAGGCAGCCAAAACCCCAGAAGGACATAGAACATTTGAGCCACATTAACAAACATGACTTAATTGAAGTATATACAGCACTAAACACAACTGTAATGCACATTCTTTTCGAGTGCTCATGGGAGAACATTTACCAGAATTGTCCATATGTTGGTCCATAAAGCAAGTCTCAACAGATTTCAAATAACGGAAATAATACCAAGTCTGTTCTATGACCAGAATGGAATTAAACTGGAAATGACAAGGGCACTGATCTACCAAAACAGAAGCTGGCCCAAGGGCTGGCACTAAGTACTGGAGGCCTCCTGCTGTGTCAGGTATTAACCTTTTAGTTGGTAAATAATAATCCTGGAAAAAGAACTGAGGTGGCCAAGGCAACAGGGTAAGTAAATATTTTAAAAATTAGTATGGTCATACAATTATGCATCTATGGAATATCAGCCCTGTTTGGTAGGCCAATTATAGCACTGGATGCATATATTAGAAAATAAGAAAATCTGAAAATTAATGAGCTGAGCATTCAACTCTATAAGTTAAAAAAGGAACAACAGACTCAGTCCAGAGAAAGTAAAAGAAGTAGTATAATTAAAAGAAAAACAGTTAAACAGAAAATAAAAATATAACAGAAAGGATACATAAATCTAAAAGTTTATATTTTTAGAAGAATTATTAAAGCGACAAACTCTGGCAAGACTGTTCAAGAGGAAAAAATAGAAGATAGAAATAAACAATATTAGAATAAAAGAGAAGATGTCACTGCAAACGCATCAAAGATTTAAAATATACAAAGATAACCTTTCATAAATAATTTGAAAACTGATGTGAACTAGAAAAATCCCCACAAAATCATAACAACAAAGCTGATTTAAGTAGATGTAGCAAACTGAAATGACTCTATAACTATTAAAGAAATTCTGTCAGTTAAAATGTTAAAGGAGACGCTAGGCCCAGAAGTTTTACCTGGAAGTTCTGCCAAATATTTTAGGAACAGATAGTTCCTTGGATAATCTTTGTCCAAGAACAGAATGAAAGGAAACAGTTCCCACCTCATTTTATGAGGTTAGTATAACCTTGACACCAAAACCAGATGGGAACAACATGAGAATGGAAAAAGTGCAGGTCAACCTCATTTCTGAACAAAATGCTAAAATCCTAAACAAATAATAGTGAATAAAACCCAGAGGCTTTTATTTATTCCAGAACCACAAGATTAGTTCAACATAAAAAACTCTAATATAATGTACCATATTAATAAGTTAAAATAAAAAATCAAGTATTATCTCAGTGGATACAGAAAACATGTTCAATAAAATTATTATTCACTCATCGTTTTAAAATTACATTGGCAAACTAGGAACGAAAGGGAACTTCCTTAACCTGTTAGATTATATCTACCAAAAACTACAGCAAATTTTCTCAGTAGTGAAATTGTAAAAGCATTCCCTTTAAAATCAGTGTCAACATAAGAATCAACACTATTAACATTCCTTCTCAACAAGTATCACATAACATGTAGTGTGATAGGTGGGAGGTCTTAGCAGTATAGTAATACAAGAAAAAGAGATAACAATAAGGATTGGAAGGGGAAAATGAAAGTTTCCATTCACATACAAATTATCAAAACTAATAAGAAATGTTAGCAGGTTTGCTAGTTCTAAATTCAATGTATACAAAAAATTACATTTGTATATATTAGCAACAAACTGCCATAAGTGTTATTTTCTAAAAGGGTACTGTTTATGATACCAAAAAAAAAAAGCCAAAAAAATTTTCCAATGATGTGCAAGCCTTTCATAGATTAAATGATAGAACTTCACTCAAAAAAGATGAAAAAAGTCTATATACATGGAAAGACATACCATGTTTTGGGAAGATTCAATATCACAAAGATGGTAATGCTCTTCAAATTGATTTACAGATTGAAAGTAATTCTAAGTGAAATTCCGAGAGGAGAGAGAGTGTGTGTTTGTGTGTGTGTGTGTGTGTGTGTGTGTGTGTGTGTGTGTGTGTGTGTGTGTAACTTGAAAAGCTGATTTCAAATTTCATAGAGAAAAGCAATGGGCCAAGAATAACCAAGACATTCCATAAGAAGGATAAGATGAAGGGACTTGCTCTACCATGATAAATGTACAAAAATGTCCACTGCACTATTGTTCATAACCAAAAATTAGAAATCATCTAAATGCTCAACAATAGTAAGATGGATAAATAAATCATGGGATACTCACAAGGAAGATAAACAAACTACAACTGCATGTGACAATTAATATGGATGGCTCTCATAAACAGAATGTTGGATGAAAAAAAATTAAACAGCTGTTCAAGCACTTTATACGTTAATGCATTTAATCCTCAAAACAACATTCGTAAGTGATTGTGTGTCTTCTAGAGAGGATGCTCCAAGCAAGAAGTGACTGAGACCTTTCGAAATCAATAGCCTGGCCTCTCTAGCACGAGGTGAGCCAGACATTGCCCAGGGCAAGACTTGGCAACCACTATCTAAGCGTTTTTGTGTCTATGGTCTGATGAAATTCAGTCAGTCATTAATGAGAGACTCTTGTGCACACAGAGCCCCATTCTTGGCTATGGTAAATGGTAGAGTAGAAGTAGCACAAAGTGACCATTTACTGAGCATCTGCTATGTATGTGCCAGGTTCAGGGCTTGGTGATGGGGATATGATGGTTTATAAGACCACACAAAGCCAGGCACAGTGGCTCATGCCTGTAATCCCAGTACTTTGAGAGGCTAAGACAGAAGGATTGCTTGAGCCCAGGGATTCAAGAGCAGCCAAGGCACCATAGCAAGACCTTGTCTCTACAAAACAATTAAAAAAAAAAATTAGCCAGGCGTGGTGTCACGTGCTTGTAGTCCTAGCTACTTGGGAGCCTCAAGTGGAAGGATCGCCTGAGCCCAGCAGGTAAAGGCTGTGGTGAGCCGTGATAGCATCACTGTATTCCAGCCTGGGTGACAGAGTGAGAGTCTAACTCAAAAAAAAAAGAAAAAAAAAGACCAAATATTCACTTTCTTGTATAAATAATAATGAACATTTACTGAGTACATACTATGTGCTGGACACTCTAAGCATATCACATACTTAAGCTCATCTAATCTTCACACAATGCCATTATTAATTTTATTGTACAGGTGAGGAAACAGAATCCCAAAGAGGTTAAGAGAATTGTCCAAGGTCACAGAGGCAGGGAGTGGCAGAACTGGGACCTCAAACCTAGGTAGTCTGGATCTAGAACTTCTGAATCAGTAAATCACCCCAACAACACTGGGAGGTAGGTAAAATCCTGTTTTACAGCTGGGGAAAGTGAGGCTCAGGATTAAAGTGAACATATATTTATTTTGCACCTTCTGTGGAAATTTCTATGTATTAGGTGATTTATGCATATTATCTTTCCAACTTGAAAGACACAATTTCCAGGAATATAAGGGTTCTAACTATGGAGGACTTGTATATATGGAGAGTGCCTAGCCTGATTGTTAGCTAAATCCACAGTCCATTAGAAAGAACCAAGAGTGACTGGATTTCTAGGGGTGGGATGTAGCTCTCAGTTTCCAGGTTCCCAGATCTTTAGATGAGTGAGTGAAACTGCTGGTGGAGAGGAGAAAGGGAAACTGGAGGCTGTTTTTTTTCTCTCTTCCTCCAGCCACACTCTACGTACTATATTTAGCATCCTATATCTTCCTGGATCCTCTATGCAACTACTGCTGCCCCCAATATCTCTGAGTCTGGGCCTCCTTCAGCACTAGCAGAGTAGAAAACTGGTCAGCTGGTCTTTGGGGTGTCTAGGCCCCACAGTCCACAGCTCCCTTATCTTCAACCACCTTATGGCCCCTCAGGCCACAATCCTTGGGCTGGAACCACCTTGGCCCACTAGTGTCCCCTGTTATCTATGGGAAATAGTATATTCCAGTTTGTTTGTTTTTTAATATTTGGGTTTTGTGTGCTTCTCCTTTGCCCCTGCACTTCTTAAATTTCCAAAGTGAACACCACACCAGCAGGTTGGCCCTGAAAGACTGTCTTCTCCCTCAAATCCCCAGAAAAGAAAGGGAATTCATACATGCCAAGAAGGCAATGCAGAAGACAGGACACCCAGCCTTTTCCAACCCAAGCAGGTACAGACTTAGAAAAGGCTAAAGAAAGAGGAGAAGCAATACTGACTGTTGTGTACCCAACACCTGTCCCCTGAGAGACGATGCCAGGAATCATCTTATTTCACCCAGGCACTGTCAGTCAGACAAGACTATTTCCAAGACACTTCACAGAAGTCACCAAAATGAAACATTCTATGCTAGCACTCAACGGTCCCAAACTAGAAACCTCAAATTCCAAACAAGAAGCATTCCAAATAAGCTCTGGATAAGAAAGGAAAAGTTCCTAGTCAAAGATCCCTCTGATTAAGATGATCTTTACCTAATCCTCCTTCTTTCTCTATCTTCACCTCTTTCTTTCCATGTGTCTTTCTCTCATTCTTTCCTCACTTTTTCTGACACTAGCCTCTGGTTCTCCTACAGTTATCTCATCCAGTTGCTCATCTATTCCAGCTTTTAATTGGGGTGAGTGGATGGGGGGGAAGTACATCCTTTGCTCTTCTACACCCACTCTACCACCACCACCTTGAAACCCACAGAAGCAAACCCCACTTACAGCCCCTTCTCCGTTGCAGCCCGCTGCTGCTGCTGTGTGGAATCCAAATCTTCTGCAACCTGGTTTGGGTGAGCTCTCCCAACTGTCGAGACATCTTAGAGGAGCCGCAGCTAATGACACCACTGCCCACAAGGGTACCGGGCCTCACTTCCTATCTTACTAGCTGTACCTTCTCTCACTGTGGTCACGCCAGCAGGTGGACAGGGCTGGGATAGGAGGGCTCACTGGGCTTCTGAGCCCTCTCACAGCCTGTCTCCAGCGACCCCCCCTCTTTCCTCTAGTCCTACCCTGTCTCTGTATGTACCAGTGGGGGCTTGGGTGAAGACAGCAAGAGGTTGGGCAGAGGTCAGCAGAAGCCTCTGAACTCCAAAGGCTGTGTGCACAGGAGATAAGTTGGAGCCCAGCAAGGAAGGCAGCCAGAAAGACAGCTCAGGTCTGGCCAGTCACTTCCCTCCAATGAAGACAGGACTAATAGAGTGTGCAAACAAAAGACCAAAGATCATGTGCTTACATCCTGTGTGGGTGGGGAGGCAAAGGTGATGGAGATAAGTCTCAGCAGATTTTATGCTTTGAAATAAAAACAACAATAACAACAAAATAGTCTCAATCAGAGTGTCAAGCTCCAACCTAGAAACAGAGATCCACATCAGAAATGCCAAGTTCCCAAGGACAAAAACACAAACACAAAGTCCCTACTAGAAAATGCAATGTTTTGAGCTGCAAATTTAAGGTCCAAACTGGAAGTAGAAGGTCCTCTGCCTCACTGCTCTCTCCATTCCAAATGGCATTTCAACCCTTGTCTTCCCCTGGATTCTGCTGCTTTCCCTGATACAGGGCCTCTCCCTCCTAAAATGTGCTGCCTGGGGCACTCTTGGAGAGACGGGCACTATCTGATCATCTTTATATTCTCTCCAGTCAAGGCTAAATAAATTGGAGTAAACCTGACACCTCAGGAAGAGGAGTGGGTGCAGTCACTGCTGGAGGGGAGAAATGGTAAGCATTTCCACATGACTGCCAGCAGCCATCAGATGCCCTAGGGAGAATTGCATCGTGATCTGATCCAAAACCTGGCTAAAGATCCTCATGCCAAACTATTGGGAAAGAGGAAAGAGGCTGCAGCAGGGAGTGTGGGGAGCAGGGAGCAATGGCCTTAAAGCAGACAAGTTCATAGGCTAGAGTTATCCCTCTCAGATGACTCCTCTTCACCCACCTCCTCTCCCCACCATTGTTGTTTTGAGGCTTGTATGTGTAGAACTCATAGAACTGCACAGCTTGCCTGGAAGATGTCCAAGTGTCCTCTTTCTTCATTCTTTTGCAACCTTCCCACCCCCAATGAACCTTAAGTGATTGGCTATGAGGAAACTCAAATTTCTTCCACTGAGCTGGGCTATACAAGGGCAATCCCCTGGGGATAGAAATATCCAATCTCTGCCCTTAAATTTTCTCAGCTCCACTTTGCCTTTTAATAAGTTCCCTAAAATATATTTGCAGAACCTTAGTCTACACAAGGGTCAGATTCCCCCCAGTTGCTGTGTAAAAATCATACCAGACCTTCAATACATTCCAGAGCCCACCTATCTAAATGAATCTACTGAGGCAGTGGATCATGATGGTTAAATGCAATGGGCTCTGGAGTCATACTATCTGAGCTCAAATCTACTGCTGCTCCTTGCCAGCTATAAGATAATAAACAGAAGGCTAAACTTTTCAGTGCGTCAGGGTTTTTTATTTTTTGTCATTTGAACATGGGAATGATAGGAGTACCTACCTCTTGATAGATGAAGACTCAATGTGTTAATATATGTAAAGCAACCTGGAAAATGCTAAAAATATATTACCTAACGCTGGTAAATGATCAATCACCTCTTTGACTAATCTGCAACTTCTAATGTAATTCTGGGCATACAGGAAATGGTAAAGAAAACTTGCAATATTATGGCAAAAGGTTAACATTTATAATAGACAAAAAGTTGCTACAAATAAATTAGAAAGATGAGTTTGTTTTTACTTTTCTGGTTTTGTGTAAAGACCTACAAGATCATTTTAATCTCACCCTCTCAGGTAAGAAAACTAAAGTCTAGAAATATTTTCCTAAGATCATGTAGCAAATCGGTGATCAAGACAGGAATAGAACACTGGGAACCTAATTTCTTCCAGTTCAGGGATTTTCTTTGGTTAATTGATCAAGTGAGCCTGATTTAATAATGTGGTCTTCCAGGTTAGCTCAGAACCTCTAGAGTCTCAGAACTAGACTTCGGAAGAGATACAACTCTCTTAATTCTAACCAGTCTCTTAATTGGTATAAACCTGTTAATGTTAATCATCTTAATTATAACCCTTTTCATGTATGTTCTTCATTGCCCACAAAGTAACAACGTATCCCTTATCCTATTTGCTCCTTACGAACAGCCTCAGAGGCTTATGGGGAAACTGAGGTCTAGGGAGGAGAATTGGCTTGTTCAAGATAATTTAGCTAGTCACATGGACGCCTGTTCTATGTTTACAGATTTTTCCTCATGATCTTGCCAAGAGGCAGATAGATAATTTTAGCAGCAGGAAATCTGAGATAGGAGGATAGCAGGCTTTTGACAAAGTCTGCAAAGGTAAACCTAGTGTCCAGGCTTGAAAACCTAACTTAAAACTGCCTAGAACTAGTGATGAGACTCTCCACTACTGTTACCAATTCTGATCCCAGAAGCAGGAGAGCAAAATAAGCTTTATGGAAAGGATTCAGTCTGGTAGTCAAGGCTCTTCTCAATCAAGCTCTAATCTATCTGTCCAGCCATGTCTCTCCTTAGACCACCAGGCTTAAACTGTACTGGTTGACTTACTGAGCCCCAAAATACACTGTGTATTTTCCTATCTCTGGACCTTTGCTCAGCCGAGAATGCCTTTTCTCCCCTTTCATTCTCAACAAAATCTGACTCATTCTTCAGGGCCTGGTTCAATGTTCAACTCCTCTGGGAAGTGGTCCCTATATTTTGGGGACAGGTTTTGCCTTTGGTTCTCATATTGTTCACATGCTCCCATCTATCTAAGTATCCACCACTGTTTTTCTGCTCTGTTTCCCCACTACACCATGAGATTCTTGAGGGTGGAGACTAGGTCTCAGTGATCCATGATTTGTGTTTCCAGTATCCAGCTTTGGTCCTGGCACAAGGGAGGAAGGAGACACTTCTCAATGGTTATATGTACAAACTGGATCTCTCTGCCCTAGATGAGATGAAGATGTGTATAAGTAATCCCAGTTCAACAAGGTAAATGTTATAATAGAGGGCTGTGAGGGGAATTGGATGGGGGAGCTAACTTGGTCTGAAGTAAAAGGTGCCATCTAGAAAGGTTTCTCAACCTTAAATGGGGCAGAAAAGGATAAACAAAATAATGAAGTTCCCTCTGAAAAGGTCTAGTGAAGCTGTGGCAGAGAAAGGGCTCAATCAGTATCAGTTTCTCACTCAAGACAAGAGCTGAGCTGCAAATTCTAAAATGAGGCTACCTCTAGGGAAGAAACACATACAGCGTGACTTCCCAAAGCCCACAGATCTTGACACCCCCTTCAAAGTATGGGACATGTATGTGTGTTGGGGGGCAGGAGAATCCTCTTAAAACAGCATTAAATCAGTACTGATGGGTAATGAAATCACAAATGGGGTCTCCCTGTTGGCAATTTTTGGCGTGTGTGGGTGAGAATGCATTTGTAGAGGATTAGGAAGCAATGAGAACTTGGCTGCATGCTTCTAAGTCAGGTACATGTATATAAGTGACAGGCCTTCTGTGGCAGCAGCCTAGGATCTACTTTTTTTCAGCCACTGTCCTGGCCTACCATCCCACCACTGTTTTCATCCTCATGCTTAGGCTTCAAAGTTTACTGCGTCCTAGACCTAGGAATGGCCCTCCACAGACCACAATCAGGGAGAAGAGCAGCTGGGGGGTTGTAGGGTTTATTGCCTATAGAGGCTATAGAAAAAGAAGGATCACTCATCTCAGACAGAGCAGGAAAGTTCTGATATGTCTCCAAAGAGCTTTGGTTCCTGTCCTCCTGCCCTTCTTGATCTTCAGACACCCTCTGAGGGAAGCAGACTGGGGATGATTTCCAAGTTACTGAGCAGGCTATTTATGCCCAGAGAAGCTAGAGAGTTTGTTCGAAGTGTCACAGAAAATCAACCCTACTTTATATACCAGTGAGGAAGTAAGAAATATAATCTCAGTTACTCCGTTCATTCAAAACTGGACTAGACCAAGTTGGAGAGACTTTCAAAGGTGCTAAGAAATTGCCAGTGTCCCACAAAGGCCAGAATGGATAATGTGTGTGTGTGTGTGTGTGTGTGTGTGTGTATGTATGTATGATGCAAGAGCAATAAAAATGTTCATTTCCTTTGTCCTAGTTATCCCATTCGGGACTCAATCCTGGATGTGTGTCTATTATCTATCTATCTATCTATCTATCTATCTATCTATCTATAAAATTAGATATAGTTATCATCTTTTCCCCAACTTTTCCATACCCCTTAATGTACACCTCAACCTACCACCTATGCAAAGAAAACTATCTAGAGAGTCTGAAGAATGGATGTGAATATGTGTAACTCCTGCCTTTTTTTCCTTTTTTCTCACCTACCTTTTCTCCTAGAGGTTTTGTCTTCCATTTCTAATTATCCAACACTCGGTTCTCTTCTCTTGCATTTATAGACTCCCAAAGCAGGTCCAGTGGGTGGTCTCAAAGAGGAAGCCTGGAGTCGATCGTTGGTTCCCTGGGAAGGCTGAGGAAGTACCCTTGTTGGGGGTGGTGGTGTATGTGCTCTGTTGAAATATCAGCTGTTGTAGTTGCCAAAGGAGTTCCTCAGCCACCCGGAGCCTTTTCTTTTCAGTCCAATCATGTGTTCACCTTGCCTCAAAGGTCAGAACTAATATTAACAAGCCACTGCAGAATGGGGAAATTAAAACCAGCTATGGAGACAGGCAAGTTCAGTATTTCCCTGGGGCTAAGTTTCAGTTCAGTCTTCAGTGTAAATGGGCACAATCCCTTATTGGAAAGCAATTTGGCAATATGAAGCAAGAGCAATAAAAATGTTCATTTCCTTTGTCCTAGTTATCCCGCTCTCCTGGGACTCAATCCTGGGTCAATAACCCCCAATGCATGAAAAACCTCAAGACACAAATTTTCATGTTAATTACAAAGCTGTTTTCTGATGGCGGTAACTGGTAAGTAAGCCATAAGTCCAGAGGTAAGCCTGCAGCCATTGAGGGTGATGGTTCTTAGAATGTAGAATTCTGGGGGAAAATAATTATGCTCCAATTCTGGGTGAAGAACCTAAAGATACAAAGTTATGCTTTGCCCTGGACTTTGGGCATGTCCATTACTTCTGTTTTTGTGCTCTCAAAAAGAAGCCACAAATCTGTTAATGCTCTTGCTATTACCCTTTGTTCATCTTACAAATATTTATTGCCTTTTAATATATGCTGTATCCAGTATTAGGGGATGGGGCTAACAAGATTTATCAGATATGATCATTGTTCTCAAATTGTTGGCAGTATAGTGGCAGCAGAAATAGAAATCAATGGTAGCTGTGCCTTGTGATAAGTGCTGTGACAGAATGGACCACAGGGTGCTGTGGGTGCCCAGAGGAAAAGATCTAACTGGGGAGGTGTGTGATCAGTAAAAACTTATTTAGGAAAGTAATCCTTCAGCTAATTAAGACAGGATTTAAATCCTGGATCTACCACTATTTTGAGGCTGAAGTGAATTCACTCAACCTAACTAAGCCTTAATGTCCCTTACAGGGTTGTCCTGAAAACGAAATGAGATAATGTATATAGAAGAACCATAGACGTATTGGGAGACGGTGCTGCTCAGGAGCTTAATTTCTCTGGGCCTCGATTTTACTCATCTGAGAACTGGAGCCATGAGCAAGTACGTATTCGGTCACATCCTGCAGAATGCGAGAGGTCTAAGACAAATAATGACTACAGAGCGGGTTTGAAACAGCCTCCTACTGCCGTCTAACCCCAATAAAGCCAAAGGCCCTCCTCCTAAGTCTTATCCCAGAAGAGCGGTTCTTACTGTTCCTCCTTCAACCATAAATTTTCCTTCGACCCTGCCCAACGCGAGCTCACAGCACTAGCTACTGCCCTCTGTGCACACAGGTGGGCGGTCTGCCGCATCAGGGGCGGGGCTTCGGCCGCTGGGCGGAGCCGCTCTAGGTTCCACCGCTTGAAAAGTGGTGAAATCGCCCGGGCTCGGTGGCTCAGCCTGTAATCCCAGCGGCTTTGGGAGGCCGAGGTGAGTGGATTGCCTGAGCCCGCAGGTTCGAGACCCACCTGGGCAATTTGGCGAGACCTCATCTGTACAATAAATCAAAAAATCAGCCGGGCGTGGTAGCGCATGCCTGTAATTCTGGCTACTCGGAAGGCTGAGGCGGAAGGATCGCCGGAGCCCAGCAGGTCGAGGCTGCGGTGGTCGGGAGCGGCCGCTGTACTCCAGTCTGGGTGATAGAGTGAGACTCCAACTCAAAAAAAAAAAAAAGCGGCGAAACTGCGTATATAAGAAACCGGAAGCACCAAGTGACTTTTGAGTAGAGGAGAAACGCAATCAGACTCCGAGCCGGTGTGTGGCCGGAGGAGCGGGAGCCCAACTGGAGGCTTTCCTCTCGCCATTCCTTCTCCCCAGGTTTCCGCTCACTTAAGCTTCCACTCAGTCCCTCCTCCTGCTAATGCTAGCAGCTCGAAGCCCCACCCTCGCGTACGTCAGCGTCTTTCGCGGCACGCACGAAAACGCCTGCGCAAGCGCGCGCGCAGCAGGCGGGCCTGTCTAACTTCCGAGTGGCCTAGGCCTGAGCTGGTAGGTGTTCCAGTTTGCTAAGATGTTGCGAGTGGTAAGCTGGAACATCAATGGGATTCGGAGCCCCTTGCAAGGAGTGGTAAACCAGGAACCCAGCAGCTGTGCCGCCAAGGCCGTGGGGCGCATTTTGGACGAACTTGGTGCCGATATCGTCTGTCTCCAGGAGACCAAAGTGACCAGTGAGCGCTCAAGAATTCAGGATCTCTACCATACTTTCCCTTTCCCACTAACTTTTGCCCCTGCCCCATCTCATTTCACTCTCCCATTTTTCCAATCCTTTCAGTCCTGCTCTTAGTCGCAGATCCCTTCCCCCTTAAGCCCCTGTCGTCCTAATTCCCACTCCATTTCCTGTCCTCAGCAGAACTTTAATTCCCTCCCCCTTTTAAACCTCCGTATTCATTCAGATCCTCACTCATTCTCCGTCTCCAACTCAGTCCCTCAAATTTCTTCCTCCCATACACTGTCAATCTTCCACCCTCAAGTCATTTTCCCATCCCTGTTCCCACCTCAGATGCTCTAATTCCCACTCCATTTTTGCCCCCAACTTAATCTAATTTCCTTCTTTTCACACCTCCATCTCTAACCCCTAATTCCCTTTATCTACTCCATCTCTCCTCCTTGATTTAGAGCCCCTAATTCTTAACTCATCTCCCACCCCAGGTTTAGACCTCTAATTTTTTCTCTCTCCTACCTACCTCTCAGACCTCCTAATTTCTTCTCCCTCCATCCCCGGTTCAGATCCACTAGTTCCCTCTCTCCTACCTTCCACCCTAGCTCACATTCCCACGTCTCTCTCCCAGATCACTATTTCCCATCCTCAGCTCTCTCCCATGTAATTTTCCACCTTGTACTCTGTAGTCTCTACCCTTCCCAGCCTTTTAATCATGATAATCAATGTCTTCTCTTGATTTTGTCCATTTTCTAACCCCTCCTGTAATCATAGATACATCATTTTCCCTCCCAACTTTGGCTCTGATGTGTGCAAATAATTAACCTACAACTGTAATTTCAGGCCTTTGTGTATCCTGGGTCCTAGTTTTACTTCTGACTTAATCTTACATTTTTTTCCAGGGGATGTGCTGACAGAGCCCCTGGCTATCATTGAGGGCTATAACTCGTATTTCAGCTTCAGTCGCAACCGTAGTGGCTATTCTGGTAAATGGGGCTTTTGGGAGACTTTAGATTAGTGATGGAGGCAGGTAGGGGGAATGGGTTTCTAATATTTGATGAGGAGATAAGAAGTTTAGACCTTTAGTTCAGAGAGCTAAAGCTGCATAGTATTAAGTATGTGAAATACAATTTTTATGTATAAAACTACCCTACTGAACTTCAGAAGTACAGTAGCATGGTTAATTGTGTGAACTCTGGAGCCAGCCAGACTGCCTTGGTTTGATCATGGCTCACTTCCTAGCTGTGCATCCTCTGGCAAGTTACTCTGTCTCTTTGTGTCTCAGGTTCCTCGTCTGGAAAATTAGAATAATGCTTACCTTCTAGGGCTGTTTTAAGGATTAGACGAATTAATCCATGTGATAATAATGGCTAATACTTTTTAAGCACTTACTATTTGTTAATGTAAAACACTTAGAACATTAGCTGTTATTATTCTGTAACTTTTTTAGATGAAAACTCCAGGGTTTGAGTTGAGTTGCTCCAGGCTCTAGGGAGCCATCTATGGCCCTTGAGTTGAGAGAACTGTCAATACATAAAAAACAATAATAAGAACTATACTTGATGAAAATGACTCAGGTGATCTGTGTGGGAACAATTGGAGTGGGACAGTCTGTGTAACATGGTGTTAGCTGTCAGATCTTCTCAGAGTACTCTGTTTGTCCACAGGTGTAGCCACCTTCTGTAAGGACAGTGCTACCCCAGTGGCTGCTGAAGAAGGCCTGAGTGGCCTGCTTGTTACCCAGAATGGAGACGTGGGTTGCTATGGAAACATGGATGAGTTTACCCAAGAGGAGCTCCGGGCTCTGGATAGTGAGGGCCGGGCCCTCCTCACCCAGCACAAGATTCGGTAATAACCATATCCCCCTGCTCCTGATCACTGCTGCTGCTCCTCTGTGAGTGTGGAGATTCTAAGGTTCACATTATAAACATGCGTGCACCATGGAGAAGTTCCCTAATTTATCTTTCCTAGTCTGGTCCTGGCTGGGCTGCTCATTATGTAACCCTGGCTAATTGTGTTTTCCTCTGATCCCTGAATTTCCATCTCTACAGTAGGAGGGCTGGCCTGGTGGTCCAGCTCTTATTGCCACTCATATCTCAAAAGCAACTTAGCTAGTGCTAACTCTGCCCCAAGTTGCTCCCTTTCTGCATGTCCTATATTTGTGAATGGCAGCATCATCACCTGCTTTAACTGGATGTCATCCTAGATTCCCCTTCTCTGCCCCACCAGTAGTCAGTCCCCAAGTCCTGTGCATGCAAGCTTATTTATGTCTCTTTAATCCCCTTCCTTCTCTTGTATCCCATAAGTGGCCATTAAGTTGGAAGTCACGTGGTATGGGGAATAGAGAGGAGGCTTGAGGCTGACCTGTTTTGGGGATTTTTCTTTTTCCTAGCACATGGGAAGGGAAGGAGAAGACCTTGACCCTAATCAATGTGTACTGCCCTCATGCGGACCCTGGGAAGCCCGAGCGTCTGGCCTTTAAGATGCGCTTTTATCGCTTGCTGCAGATCCGAGCAGAGGCCCTCCTGGCAGCTGGCAGGTACTGCAAGCCTGGGCAGCAAGGATTCCTTGAGCTTGTCCCATGTGTCCGGCCCTGTGTCAAGCTCTATTGGAAGGGATATGAAACCTTTGCCTTTGTATTTCTTCACAGCCTAGTATGTCCTCCTGAATAGGCTGTGCTCTCTTGAGAACAGTGAGGATGGGGGAGAGTGAAACAAACATGGGTTTTGTACGCTGAACCCCTATCCACACTCCTGCTCTTACTCATTGTGAGCCCCAAAGCTAGTCCTGCTTCTCTTTTCTCTTGTCAAATGAGTGTAAACCTTACTTCATGGAATACTTTTAAGGATAAAATGAGATGAGGGTGGTAAAATGTTCAGGAGCACAGGAAAGTGAGAGTGGGTTAGAGTAATCAAGGGATACTTCCTAGAGGAAATAGTACCTAACCTCAGCTTTGAATGATAAGAAAGATGCCATTAAGTAGTGATCAGTGAGTCAGTTGTGTCAGACAGAGAATACTGTCACCTTTGGAGATCAGAATTGGGTTGGTCAGGTGTAAAAGGCAACAAGGTTGTGGTAAGATTGAAGAGGTAGGCCAGGCATGGTGGCTCATGCCTGTAATATCAGCACTTGGGGTGGCCGAGGTGAAGGGATTGATGACTAGGAACTTGAGACCAGCCTAGGAAGCATAGTAAGACCTTGACTCTACAAAAAAATAAAGATATCAGCTGGGCATGATGGCACGTGCCTGTAGTCCCCACTACTTGGAAGGATGAGATGGAAGGATCGCCTGAGCCCAGGAGTTCAAGGCTGTGGTGAGCTGTGATCATGCTACCGTACTCCAGCCTAGGCTGCAGAGTAAGACCCTACTCCAAAAAAAAAAAAAAGGACTGGAGAGGTGGACTGCTATGAGTAGCTGTTGGCTACAAAGCCTCAGTGTGAGAGGTCTATCTGAGCTCTTGAGCCCAGGAAAAAGGCAATGGGCTAGGACTATTTCTCTCCCTTCTTGAATGTCTAATTGATAATTCTACATTGTGTTTTTCAGCCATGTGATCATTCTGGGTGACCTGAATACAGCCCATCAGCCCATTGACCACTGGGATGCAGCCAACTTGGTAAGGCTCCCTTTAGGCTCCTAGCCCCACTCCTGACTGTGATTCTGTTTGCCCAGCCAACCAAAGCTGGGTTTTTGGCCCAGGGGCAGCTTCCTTTATGGAAAAGCAGAGCTTAGTTTGAAATACTGTTTTTGTAGAACTGTGGATTGGACACTCATTCAATAGATGTTACTGACCTTTTCCTTTGCCTGGCCATGACCTATGTGCTGGGGACTCAGTTAAGAGTCAAATCTAGCTCTTGTCCTCTTGGAACTCTCAACATGGTAATAGGCTACAGGCATATGTCCAGCCAATTAGGGCTGAGGCAGAGATGGCTTCCCAGGAAGGGATTCCCAGAGATGGGATTCCCAAGTGAGCCTGGACATCAGGACAGGCAGCTGAAAATAGCTGAATCCTAAAAGATGAATAGAATGAGCTTTGCATAGGGTGCACAAAGCATTCCAGCATGGGCAAAGGTTTCAGTGTAAGAATTTGTCTGGTATTTATGGGGGATCACAATTCCCATTCTGGTTAGAGAGTGGCATGGAAGTGAGGTGAGTAGCAGGAGGTAGATCTGGAAAGTCCTTCAGGGACCAGAATTTGAGGGCCTTGAATCCCACATTGCCTTGGTCATTTTCTTAGTGCATTGTGTTTCCTGCTCATGAACCTTCAATACCTCCCGCTTATCTCTGTGATGCAAAGAAAACACAGAGGCCTGACTTTCAAGGCTCTTTTTGTTCTGTATCCTATCCCCATTTTCAGCCTCAGTATCCTTACATGCTCCGTCCTCTCCAGACAGGTTGTCTCTTTTCTGCCCATTGAAAAAGCCATTCTCGTTCTGGCTTTTCTTGCCGCCCTCCTTTCCTTTTTCTTATATGAACCTCTCATCTCTAAGTCCCCCAAGGCCAATGGTTACCTATTCAACTGTTTATTAGAACGCATATATCAGTACCTTAGCACTACTTCAGACCAATGGACTCAGGACTCTTAGAGGTAGGGCTAGGGTAGTGGCATGTTTTAAAAGCCTCCAGGGTGACTTTACTGTACAGCCAGGCTTGTGAACCACTGTCCTAGAATCTGTAAGCCAACTCTCTTTTTGGCTTGCCTCATGAGGAGGGAGATCAGTAATTTATGCTGGCACAGTCAAACTCAGCACTGGGCTTGACTCAGAGGAGTCATGGAAAGATTCCTTGATTCATTTGTAGAAGAGCCACATAAACATAGATGTAGCTTCCAGCTGGGAAAATGAGAGAATGGTGGTGGTGGTATTGGGGGTGGCGAGGAGAGAACACTACAAAGCAGGAGGCTGTAGTCCCTCCCTGCCTCATTCTAGCATGCAGTAGGTACTCAGTGCACATTTGTTAAAAGAATGAAAGAACAGATGTCTGAGTTAAGTCTAAGAGCTGAGGGGAGGTAAGCCAGAGGAAGGGGTGAGGGAGGGCATTCCAATCAGAGGAGAGCAGCATCAGCAAAGTCCTAAGGGTAAGAGAGCAGAGCAAAATGAGGGAACTACGTAACAGACATTAACTCAATCCGTTCTTTAAATTCCTGTGATAGCATCGTATACCTTTATACATTCTCTACTTGGTTCAGAACTGTCCTTGAACTATACCTCCTTCATTTTTCCTTCCAGGAATAGAGAACTAATAGAGCTAGTTCAGATGACATATACAGTTTTTCCAAAATAGCAAAACATGTCCACTTCCCACCAGCACATCTCTTCTAGTCTTCTCATCTCTAAACGGCATCATAATCCCCTTGGTTGCTCCAACTGGAAGTCTGGGAAGTGTGCTAGTATGATACTTCTTCCTTACCTCCCTTCCCACTTTCAGTCAGTGAATACTGTTGATTCTAGTTCCAAATCATCTCATAATTTCATTTTTCTATCTCCTCTGGCACCACCCTAGTCCAAGTTACTATTATCTCTTGTGTGGACTATGGCAGTCAGCTCTAGCTGGTATTCTGGTCCACAATTTGGTCTTTCCTTAAGTTTGCACCTTCTTTCCACAGGCCCATCACAAAGGATGTTCTCGAAGTTTACAGTACCCTCAACTTAGGGTACTCCTGCTCAGTCTTCACATCTCAGCTTGTGAACACTTCCCAAAAGGAAACCTCATAGATAGCCTCATAGCCTCATATAAGTCCCCATAGATCAGGTTCCTATTTTGTCCCTAGCATCATGCCTGGTACTTAATAGGTGTTCTGTGAACATCTGTTGCATTGAATCAGTGGGTGGGTGGGTAGATTGGGAATCAGAGCCAAAGAAAGTATTCAGAGATGGGTCCTTGCAGCCCCTCAGCTCAGGAGGGAGGAATGGTCAGTGAGGACTTTGGCTCACACCAGATAAACCAAATAGTGCCAGAGGATTTAAAGGAAAAGCTTGCAGTCTTCCTAACTCCAGCTCTACTTCCTAGAGGCAACCACTTTTAACTTTCTGTTTTTCATTCTTTTGAAAAACAGTTCTGGGAATTGCTTTGCTTAAAAAACAGACTTACAGATTGGCATTTATGAACTAATTCAAGGAAAATGCAACCTGGTGTGGAGGGAAAAACAAGCATGAGCTTTTAAATCAGTAGGGATGGAAATTGGAATCTCAGCTCTGCCAGTTCTGAACTGTGTGACCTTGAGTGGTAGTTCTCTTGGGACAACCAAATTTTCTTGTTTGCAAAATGAAACGGTCTAAGTCCTTTCCAATTCTAGGTGTCTAGTTCTGCCTCTCTCTCTTCCTCCCTTTTCCCCATGCCCCTCCCCTAGGAATGCTTTGAAGAGGACCCAGGGCGCAAGTGGATGGATGACTTGCTCAGTAACCTGGGGTGTGAGGCTGGCTCCCATGTAGGGCCCTTTGTTGATAGCTACCGCTGCTTCCACCCAAAGCGAGAGGGGGCCTTCACCTGCTGGTCAGTGATCACTGGTGCCCGCCATCTCAACTATGGCTCCAGGCTTGACTATGTGCTGGGGGATAGGACCCTGGTCATAGATACCTTCCAGGCCTCCTTCCTACTGCCTGAGGTGATGGGCTCTGACCACTGCCCTGTGGGTGCAATTTTGAGCGTGTCCTCTGTGCCTGCAAAACAGTGCCCACCTCTGTGTACCCGATTCCTTCCCGAGTTTGCTGGTACCCAGCTCAAGATCCTTCGCTTCCTCGTTCCTCTTGAACAAGATCCTGTGTTGGAGAAGTCAGTGCACAGCATTCAAAAGGCACTGTCATGCAAAAACAAAGTCCGTGTGCGCTCAACCAGGTCTCGGCCCACTCAGGCTGACTCCAGTAGAGGCCAGAAAAACCTGAAGAGTTACTTCCAGCCTTCCTCTAGCCATCCCCAAGCTTCTCCTGACTTGGAGCTACCTAGCCTGCCAGGTGCCCTCGTGACTCCAAAGACTCTAGAAGAGGAGATGATGGACAAAGTGGTGGAGGAGCAGACCAAAGCTTCAGAAGCCAAAGATGAAAAGGAGGTACAGACCTCATTCTGGAAGTCTATGCTGGGGGGACCCTTGCCTACACCCCTCTGCGGGGGCCACAAAGAGCCATGTGTGATGCGTACTGTGAAGAAGCCAGGACCCAACCTGGGCCGCCACTTCTACATGTGTGCCAGGCCCCAGGGTCCTCCCACTGACCCCTCCTCCCGCTGCAACTTCTTCCTCTGGAGCAGGCCCAGCTGAACCAAATTGAGGCCTGGGGATGTCTGGCATGGCCACCCCTGCACATGATCTGAGGTCAGCTCCCCTTATCCTGAGCTGCCAGTGCTGTCTCCTCCTCCTCTAAGGCTTCCTTCTTATCTCTTCCTCCTCCAAGCCTTCTCTTTCTCTCTTCTTCCTGCCTAGCTCCTCACTGGTGAGCTTCTTGTGCCTTAATTCTGTGACCAGTCACCCACTCCACTTCCCACCTTCCTATCAGAAGTACAAGGTAACTAGCTGCCCCAGAAAGTTGTGATTTTAAACCCCTTCTATCCTTGTTGGGAAATGTATCTTTGAGTAAATAAAGTCTATGCATTTGTTTCACTGTACCACATTGAGTAGACATTGTGAGTGTGCTCCATAGAGTTGAGTCAGAGAAGATATCTCAGTACTGAGATTGCTGACTGCCTGTAACCCAATGATGTAATTCCCAGGAAGAGAGGAGAAGGGAGGAGCAGTGCTCACCATAAAGAACACTGCACTGCTGAGGTTGTATGAGCAAGGGAGCTAGGCTGTGGAGCCTTAAACTGGGGCTTCCCAACTAGTGTGCCCCACAGCTGCACAAATGGGTTACAGGATGGAAAGAAATGGTATGCCTTCAACCCTCAGAGTTGCCAGGTAGGACCTGGGATCACACAAATCTCAAGTAAGATTGCCTCCTTGGCAAGTATTATCATTAGTTCACCTAAGTGTGCCATGTAAATGTATCCCATATGCTGTATGTAACCTGGAAAATTTGAGAACATTGCTTTGAAATATGGTGCTTGCTATAGCCAAACCTCTTTTCTCATTTTGAAAAATGTAGCTGCTAAGTCCTGTTTTTTAAGATACTGTGGGAGAGAAAGAGAATAATGGACTGAGAAAGGCATTCATTCCCCTTTCTGGAAAATACCTCCTCTGTTTTGGGATACCACTTCTCTCAAGGCAGTTTGGTTAGGACTGACTTTATTTACTGACTTCAGGAGCTACATGGGGCCCAGGTTTACAGGTGTACCAGTGAAGAGACAATCCCTGGATTTCTGTTGAAATCCTTGGGGAAGAGCTATTTCAAATCTGCCAAGTTTCCTGACTCTTTGTGCAACTCACTGTGTAATTTTGAGGCATTTCCTTCTTTTTTTTATCTCAGTTTCCCTGTCAGTAAATGGGATGGTCAGACCAACAAGTTGACCTGTGGTTTTCTCATGGGCCTACCACTTGTCAGGTGTAGTGCAATTGTCTGTTCTTTGTCCAATGAAGGAATACAAATGCTGCAGTTTGCTCTTTATTTTTACACTCAAGTCAGCTAGAGGCACACAGCAAATCAGAGGACAGGAGGAGGTTCAGCCCTAAATGAACAGGTAGGATGGGGATCCGAGGCAGTTGGCTTCTCAGGCGTAGTTGGTGACATATTGGGTCCCCATGTTTCCAAAGTAGGAACGTTCCCACTCACTCATGAGCTCGAAGTGTACAGGACGGTGACAGAAATTGCAGGCAGCCACAGACACATCCTGGAGGGGCAGCCCCACCTCAGTCCAGGCTACCAGAAGCTTCTCTAAAGGCAGCAGGGGGATGTGAGGGAAAGAATTGGTTAGGCTGGGTTTTCCAAATCCCTGTGTCACGGTACAGATGCATCAAGATATTGATCCCTTCAACCCTTCAAGGTACCTCAGAGCCAGAAGTAGCCTCCTCTGTTTGCTCTAGTCTGTGCCATGAATATTACCATTTGTCTTTAGGTACCAGGTTGTATAAGAGATTGGGAGCACTCCTCTGACACAATTTGAAGCCATACTGTCCTGGCCTGAATTACTACCTAAGTACAGAATGTGCTGTGGCCCAAGAAGTGAATCTATCTGGAAGCTCCTAACCTGGCGAGGAAGCTGACACTGATAGTAACTCCACCGTGCCATTGGTGCTGTGACCAGGGAACCAGGATGGGGAGCATATCTGGGAATATGGGAACCCAGAGGATGGAACCTGACTCACCTGTAGGAAGTAACTAAGGTGTGTGTCATTTCCCTTATCCTGCTTTATTTTTTCCCATAGCACTTAAAACTAACAGGCTGTTTAATTTACTTATTTTAATTAATATTTTTTGTGTCCCCTTCCACTGGAATGTAAGGGTAGGAAGGGTATCTACCAGAAGGGTAGGAATTTTGTATCTGACTTGTCCACTGTCAGATCCCCAGCACTTAGAACAGTGTCTAGCATGCAGTAGGTACTCAACGCACATTTGTTGAAAGAATGAAAGAACAGATGTCTGAGTTAAGTCTAAGAGTGGAGGGGAGGTCAGCCAGAGGAAAGGGTGAGGGAGGGCATTCCAATCAGAGGAGAGTAGCATCAACAAATTCCTAGGGGTAAGAGCAGAGCAAAATGAGGGAACTATGTACAAGTCACTCAGTGTAGCTGAAAAATTAAAATGCATATGGGGAGGAAGTGATGGCATAGAGATCACTGTGTAGAAGGCATCAAATGCCATGCTAAGGAGCTTCAACTTTGTTCTGTAGGTCAGTGGTTTCCATATTTTTGACTATATATCCCTATCAGTACAAATGTTTTAACGTGTACCTCCAGTCTCTGAATATTTATTTATATACTATGTACATGGATCACTGTCAGCCTGTATTGTAAAGATCAATCAGTAATGCTTAATTTCCTATTTTTAAGATAAAGTTCTAATATGTATTCTATTCCCTTACTCTGTAGATCATCTTGGATATCTCACCTTGGAGGCCACTACTGAAGAGTATAGACAAAGGGAAACATGAAAGAGTTTAAGCAAGGGAGCAATATGGTCAGGTTTTTAGAAAAATCCCTCTGATGGGTAGTATGGAGAAGGGATTAGAGAGGAGCAAGAGATAAGCAGGGAAATTAGGAAGAAATGTTGACATGGATTAAAGAGGCAGCAGAGGAGAAAAGACAATGGATTTGAGAGAGATTCTAGAGAACGTTTGCAGGGTTTCAGGGTGCATTGGCTGTGGGATTGAGGGATTGGTTGAGCCATGGTGAATGCCTCTCATGTATTTTTCTGCAAAAGTCCAACTTAAGTGGACATTCAGAGAACTGAGAGTACTGAGAACTCTAACATTGAAGCCCAGAGCAATAAAGACTGAACAAAAGGTCCAGTAATCTGGGTAATCAATCAGCTCAGAGAGGCAGTAGACCTAGTGGAGATAGAGAAAGACTCCCCCAATTCCAACCTTGGAATGTGACCTTGGACCAGTGACTATATATTTTTGTGTCTCAATTTCCACATACACAGAATGGAAATGATCAGAGCATCTCTACCTCATGAGGTTGTTGTGAGGATTAGAAGACTTAATACATGTAAAGTGTTTAGAGCAGTGCTTGGCACATGGTAAATACTTAAATATTAGCTAGCATTATTTAATATTTTTAAATGAATGAATTGAATAATACCTACCTATCTTGTCTTTCTGGTACTCTCATACTGTCTATGCTCCAGACAAACAGAATGATGTCAATATATGCCCCGTGCTTTCCTAGCTCTAGGTCATTGCTCATGGAATTCCTTTGTCCTAGAATATCCTTATACCATATTCACATGCACTTCAATATGCAAGATAAAAATTTCCTCACCCACAAAGCCTTTCCAGTTTCATCCTTCCCACTCTGTCTGACCATAATGAGCTCATTTCTTCCAGCTTCTAGAACACCAGTGCTCATCATACTGGACCAGTGCCATGTATGCCTGGTTCCTCTGCTAGACCATCGACTGCCTACATGTATTTCATCCAACAGGTGGAATGAGCACTTGATTGATGCCAGGCCCTGCACTGAAAACTACATCCAACGGAAATCCAACAAACTTTGGGTGAATTAATTAAACTGGCATTTTCAGGGTAAAACTCAAACTACTCAGCTCTACAAGCCTCTCAACCCAATGTCTATCTCAAGTTGTTTTTGTAGATCATAGGTTGACATACTCTTCCTCCCTCTATTCTTACTATCCTACATTCCAATAACACCTGCTTATTCTCCATATATCCCAGGCTGCTTCTCACCCTCCTTTTTGCCTTTTGTCATGCTCTTCCCTCTGCTAGGATACATCTTCCACACCTTCTTTCTTCCAATACTACTTACCTTTCAAGACTCAGCTCAGGAGTCACTTCTAAGAAGCCTGTCTTCAATCCCCCAGGCTGGGTCAGGCCTCTGTGCTCCCTCAACTCCCCCATGCATTGCCTTTGTTGAACTTTGATTACTCCTTAATGTCATTGTCTGTGTCTACCATGGTATCCTTAGCCAAACTGGAGCCCTTTTAAGTCTAGGGTCTGCTTCTCATTCATTTGTGACCCTATTATAGGCACTGGCACATACAGATATTCCAGAAATATGTTGTGAACTGAATGGTCTCTGTCTCAATTTTTCTTTTAGATCCCAGGGACTGAGGGAGAAAGAGTGCTGTAGGCGCCCTTTTTGAGAACTTACCCACAAAATCTTCCATCATCTGAGGGCTGTGGTGGGGGGAGGGTGCTAGGCGTAGCAGCTCCTCACCCCGGGGGACAGTTGGGTAGTTGATGGCCTGCACATAAATGCCATGCTTGGAGAGCAGGAGATCACAGAGCTTGCTGTTGAGTGCTGCATCACTCACCTGGACTCAGGAGAAAGGCCTATCAGTATCTACCACCCTGGCTCCACCATCACTAGCTTCACTTAGCAGGTGGAGGGAACCGAATCAGGGAACACCACTGAATTTTGGGACAGACTTTTTTTCATAAGGGGCTTAGTCAGTGGCACCTCCAGAATTTCTATTAAGGAGATCAGAGCTAGCAATCAGATTTGAAGGGTACTGGATGGAGATGGTGCCAGGGGCCTTGTCTTGAAGCTGTTTGTAGAGCAAGCACACTGGTTTTACTTAGCTGGTATGTTAATTTGGCCGGGGGAGCTCTGTGTGAAAAAGGTAAATCCCTCAAGCCACCTCTGGGGTGCTGCCACTGGGTTAATTCATAAAATGGTGTTTAAAGATGCAGTCTTTCAAGGAAATATTAGGTTAGCCTAAGGAGTAGTGATTATTTCTTTTTTACCTTTAATGTTGTCACAAAACATTGTCCTTCCCACACTTGACTTAGACAAATAGATATCATTTAAGAAAGAAGTAGCAGCTTATTTTCAAAGGTAGTAAACACTCAAACTTAGTTGGGGGTCCAAAACAGCAGCTAGTCCTGTGGCTTTTGATTTTATTTTTCTGACTGCAATTCTCAGTAAGAAATATGTTTTACACACATTACACATACACATGTATAAAACAGAAACATATTTCTCACAAAATGATACCCTTACTATGTATGATGTACTACAACATTTTCTATTCTATTTCTTGTATATTT